GACCGCAGGAATGGAGCTGAAAAACAAATCAAGAGGCACGGGGGAAAAATGCACAAGCACAAATGAGCACACGAGGCAGAATCATAACAGCCATTCACAAAGGCTCCAGTGTTCTTCCTGTGGTTCTCCTACTGCTATTACCGGTTCCTCAACAGTTTTATTCCCACATTGTCCTGGGTTTTGTCACCTGCCCCCCAACATCCAATGACAATATGTTAATCTTGAGCGTAGTTGATAGATTCTCCAAAGCCAAACACCTGGTTGCACTCATGAAGCTACCATCCACCATAAAGACTGCTGAATTATGAGCATATCAAGTGTTTTGGTTGCACAGCCTCCTCACTGACATGGTGTTGGATGGAGGCCCCCAGTTCACATCCATTTCTGGCAAGCCCCCAGCAAGTTACTTGGGGCCTCTGTAAGCCCCTCCTCTGGCTACCACCCACAGTCTAATGGCCAGGCGAAAAGGGCAAACCAACATGCTGCTTTGCTGCAGACAAACCACTGCATCAAGAGGGCCACTGACTGTTGCCAGGTCCCAGCCCTACAGTACATGCAAGGACTGAAGGTTTGGCTCAATACTCCAGATCTCCCAATTAGGTCTGCTTCCCCTGAGTAACTTCTTAGTCCTCTACCCATTTCCAAGATCGTTATTCTAGTGGCGGTCAGGCTCCTGCTGCCTTGGACCCTCAATAGAATCTACCCCCCAGTCCGTGGCTCCAGGATCAAGGCGGTTTTTCAAAGCTCTTCGGCTCCCACGCCCATGGCACCCCCTCCCACACATCTTGTTGACAGATCAGAGACATTTACGGTCTGGTGCCTCCTGGAAGTGAGGTGCCGAGGCCATAGACTCCAATACCTGGTTGCTGGAGGAGCAGTGATTGGTTCCTGCCAGAACATCCTGAATCCACGGCTTATCAGAGACTTTAAAACTACTCATAAGGGACCTGGTCTTGGTCAACCTCCTGCTGGCAGCCGTTGAGGGTGCGGGTACTGTCAGTGTTTGAGTTCTGCTATTGTTACTTTCCTGTTAATTGCTGTATTTTTTTGCATATTCTTATGTTTATTATGTTTATTTTAGATATTGTTTATTTTGTTTTTCTTCCCATTCTCCATTAACATCTGCTTTTGCTTTGCCCCTCGCTCCTGCACACGCCCTCCTCGTACTATTTAATTACTTCCCATTAGTTCCCTTGTTTGTAGCCACACCCCAGGTCACTTGTAATCACATCCTCATTTGTTATTGTATGCCTTTATTTAGCCACCGTTTGCCATTGGTCTTAGCAAGATTAGCTTTCTGAGAGTTTGCTATGAGCCTTTGTATTTTCTAGAGTTTATCCCGTTTTTGGATCAGTTTTGTCCTAAAGTTCTTGAGATTGTGTGATCCCCTCTGTATTGTGATATTTTGGTTTTGATTTTACATGGCTTTTTAGATTTTTGATTCTGATCTCTCCTGATTATAGCATTCCCACCATTAGACTTCTGACCCGTGGACTTTATTCTGACTTTAATTTGGATTTTCCCTCTTGTGCTGCATGTTTACTGGTCAGCTTTAAATTGTATTGTCTGGGAACAAGCTCTCTGATAAGCCTGCGGTACTGATTCTCTGACTGCGCCTGAGTCTACAGTCTGATCTCTGTCTGTGCGTGTGAATAGGTGAATGTGAGGCATATGATCTTGAATGCTTTGAGTGGTCGAAAGATTTGAAATATTTAAAAAAAAATGGTTATAAATGCAGTCCATTTATCATGTCAAGATTTACAACAAATGAGTCCACTGCCTGTGATTTTCTTCATTGAAGGAAACTGAGGACTCATTGGAGAACCTTAACAATGCTGAAGATGAAGACATCAGTGATGGTAAGGACCTAAAAAGTAGACCTCTGACTAAATAAGTGTTTTTCAATCAGGAAAATTACTATTGGGAGAGGTATCAGTGGCCAGTCAGGATACTCTTCCCTCTGGACAGAAAGGCGATGGCCAAGCACTGATGAGGGCACTGTGAGGGAGATGAGGGTCGGGGTCTGGTTCTGAAGCAGCAGTGCTCTTTGAGGCTGTAAATAAACTTGTAAGCTCTTTTTAAAATCAGCCAGACTTGCCTCAGTGCTAAAAACAAGCTGAAATCAAAGATCCTGGGTTTTTTTCAATTTTAAATTGCCACTCGAAAACATTGTCAAATATCTTATATATTGCAATTATAAAATTGGACTAGGGACCATCTCGCTCGGTCCACACCCACCTTCAATCTTGGCCTTCATTTTGATCTCAGTTACACACTTGCTCAATTTTGTGACTGCATCTTGTATAGTTGTAATGCTATTGTGCTGACAAAGTTTGGCAAAGTACTCAAAATCACTTTGGCAGTTGTTTCCACTACAGTTGGTGTCTCCAGGACCACACTTTGCCATGATGACACACTCACACACACACACACACACATACAAACACATTTAGGGGAGGCTTGAGAGAGTTGGGCCACTTTTTATATTTTAGGATATCATGCTAATTCTATTCACGGCATATAACCATTCATTGCAATTACGATACACACATCCAATGATACACTTCCTGTATCAGCTGTTTCTGAATGCAAGCATATGTGTAGGAGGGGGTGTTACAACTGATAATGTAGCAAATTACCGATAATATAATAACGCCTGATAATGTAACAAATTATTACACCATCCGACCGATAATGTAATAATTGACCGATAATGTAATAAAAATTTCTAACCGATAATGTAATACCATTTTGGCCGATAGTGTAATAAAGTACGCCGACAGATAAAGTGTAATAAAGTTTTGAATGATAATGGAATAAAGTCAAAAGAGGGCAAACATCTACCCTCCCTTGGCTTAATGGGGGGGGGGGTGTCAGATGTCCTATGGGGGGACATGTCTAGCAGTGGCAGAGCTAGAACTGGGAATTGGGTGGGCACAGACACGTCTCTTTATGACAACAATTAGTCCTGGCTAGTTCTCAATCACTTCGCTTTATTGACGCGTTTTCCAATTATCGTAATTGGCAACTGAAGACAGTTTCTCTCCATATGTGATATAACAGCGATGAAATCATGGGCTAAATTCAGTACAGAAAAATTATTTACTTATTAATAGGCCAATGCTTTGCCTTGATTGAACTGGTCCGCGTTCCAATTAAATATCGCCTTTCACTTTCGGTATTGCATGGGTTGATAAAAAAAAAAAAAAAAAAAATGGCACTCGGCAGTTAAATAGGGTATAAAAAGCATGCGGCTCAAGCTATTTGCGTGAAAGTTGACAGGTATGCAATTTTGATTGAATAACGTTGATTTAAATAGGCTACAGCAAATACGCGTGTAACACCATATTTTTGTAATAACACCGCAATATGTAATAATGTAATACAGTTTCACTTCATTATTCGAAACACCGCATTTTGTAATAATCTGCCTCATTTTGTAATAAAAATCCTGAACGCAATATGTAATAAACTTTGCCGCATTTTGTAATAAGTTGTTACGCGTACATATTGCACTGGTTATTAAAAAATGCGGGTGTTGCATTTTTTTATGATGAAAATGTAATAACTTGGTGTATTATGTAATAAACCATCAAAATTGGTCTTTATCTGTATCCATTATATGTTTCACAATTATGATTAATTCCCTAATTAGACTAGCATTATCTGTAGCGGTAGCAGTATAGCGGTATCTGCCAACATAGCAGCGGCAGAATTTCTGACTTATAATACAGCCAGCCATCAGGGGGAAATCCAAACATATTGGCTTCAGTTTTGGGGAAGTGTCATGTCCTCCACCCACTTCAGCTGGTATGGTATGAAAGGTATGAAAAAAAAAATTTCAGATTCAAAAAATCGTTTTTTAGAGTTTTGTGTTATGTAGATTTGCAACTAATATGAAATGCTTGAAGATAAAAGCCCTAACTTATATGCTAGTAACGATGTTCTGGTTAGGAATGATGTCGTGCCTTGCTCACAGCGACGGTCTGCGTCACCGTAGTTCTAACTCCCAGCCAGGCTCATTTCCATATTCCACGCTCCACTCCCCAGCTGACTTATTGGATACGAATTAGGCTTTTAGGCTTATTTAAGTTTGCACCGCAAACTCAGTGACCACTATATACTCAGCCTGTGTAGACATATTGTACTGCTAGCATTGTGTAATATAGGCTCTGTATTGCACAAACTGTGCTTTTTTTAATATTTGTATTTTGGGGCTGCATTCCCTGTGTGTGTTTTATTAATTATATTTGTGTCTGAAGTTCCACTTCAGCTAAGTGAATAAAACCCTCTACTTCGCACTTGGAGTCAACTCTCGCTCACTGCTTTCAGTGCAAAAGGTACCACACTGAAAGAGTTACAAATGATAACACTGGCTGAACTAGCCAGTTTGTCATAGTTTCTCAAATGATAGCTGAATTGTTAAACATAATATGAATGTATTCATCTTGGAACAGGTCGAAATTTTACCGATTCCCATGTTTATTGATTAATTAATTAGCAAACTAAGTGTCATGGTTTTGTCCATGCTAGGACCAGGGGCCTAAATGAAAATAAGGCTCAATTGCCAAGGCTGGTAAAAAGACAATAGTTTTTTTTTTTTTTTTTTTTTTTGTTAAAAATTTGGCATCTCCAATCCCACCCGAATCTGGAATGCCCAATTGGTGAACTATGTACAAGGCTTGCTCGTATGCGACCCCTTGCTGCCAACTCAGGAGAGTGTAGACAGTTCACGGCTCTCCTCTGAAGCACGCGCCTGTCAGCCACCGCTTCTTATACACTCATTGGTTGAATCTTCGCAAGTACAGAACGAGGGCGGAGGATACCCGGACATGAACAGACGAGCCTGACGAGCGCCCGTCTGGCCAACAGGAGGCGCTTGAGCAACGAACAAGGCGACTATTATATTCCCTTCCGGCAGTCCCTTCCCAGTTTGCAACCCTGTAGCGCTATAGCCAATTGAGCGCTACTCTGAAAAAGCTGCTGATCACTGCCGGCTGGTACGAAGCGGGGCTCGAACCCGCGACGTGATAGTCACTTGCAGTGCGATGCTTTACCGAGTGAGCTATCCGGCAGCCCAAAAGACAATAGTTTTAATAAAAAACAAAACAGAGCAAACTCCAGAGCAACACGGATCACAAAGGCCAGAACAGGAATAAAACACAAAGTGCAGGGCTTTCAAAAGTTTTTGGAGTAGGCGGCTGGCAGAGTAGAGTAGGCGGCTATGGCTGGTGGTGGAGGTGCCGAGAACCCAAGCATTGAGGTTGCAAAGCCCTCCAGGGGGCATTCTACCAAGAGAAATGTAAAAATTTGAAGCTTTATGATGCATTCTGGTGCCTTCTAGCGTCTGATTTCCTTGTCATTTGGTGATGTAAATTCAAAATTTTTTTTAGTTTTAACATATATTTTTGAGGATGTTTGTCATTATTTGCTCATGATGCATTACTGTATACATGTATTGTCGCTTCCGATTATCAGTTATTAGAATTAGATACATGCAACAAACCCCTTTGTGCAGAAGCCAAATCAGAAAATGTATGCGTTCCCCTGTTTAAGGCTTTATAATTCAAGATTTGAGCTTCACAGCGAAGGGGAAAATGGCTTCAGTGAAATCAGAAACTTGAAGCATTTAGAAGACCATCATATTTCAGTTTATTTTCAAAATAAAATTTTTGGACATTTCATGAAATGGCTGGCGTCAAACTTCAGAAATTTCATGAAATGACTAAAAAAATTTTATCATTTCAAGAAATGACTGGTTTCATGATCTGACTGAAACATATTGCCCATTACACAATGTAACAAAATTTTAGCTTTTTCCTGTCCCTGGGCAGAAAGTGTTATTTCCAAATTGCTTATACCTAAAGTAAAAGGAGAACACCTATCAAACTTTGCTTTTGTGACCTGGGTAAAGAATTTTTCAAATGGTATCCATTTTCCAGGACATTAAAAGTAGATATAGAGCTGGTTTGCGAACAGAGAATTTTCTTGAGCTTAAAAGCATTTAAGAACTTTCTAGAATGATGTGCAACTTCCAAGAGGTTTCAAGATTTTTTCTAGGATGTTGTAGAACTAACAAGTATTTCAAGAACCTTTTAAAATTTTCTAGATCTTTCCATAGTAATATCTATACAGCAGCTCACCACTCACCACCTCAGTTTAGTTCTAGCTGCCCAAGTAAACATGTAGATATATCAGAATTTTTCAGAGCTGGCATCAAGAAGCTGCAAAGCATTCTCTATATGCATTCTGCAATGTATGTGACCAATTTATCAAAATAAGAGCAAAAAAGTACTGTGACTGCAAGTGTGAAAATGTATGAAGCCGACAAGGTATATTTTGGCATGCCTGTCAAGGATCAACAGAAACACTGGGCACCTCATTTTACCTAAGACCACCGCAAAAAAAAAACTCAAGAAGGTAAGACAGACAGTTTTTGCTTGTTTAAATAGTATGATTTGATATTATACAAATTAAATTTGATTTATGTTTTGTTTTATTCATACCTTATGCAAATGAAAATGTGCAAATTTCCCATTTTGACACAGAAAATAGGTGAATTCCTAAATTTCATTCTCCTGGTCACAAAAACAAAGTTTAAAGGAAATAATGGGCATTTTCTATTCTTTTTACAACATAAGCGATAAAGAAATAACACACACAAACCAGGAAAAAAAATTGTGTCACATAGCGTTATAGAAGTAACTTGTATTAACATGTTAACGTAGGTGCCCTGAGTGGGACTCCGTTTGATAACCGTTCCCTGAGTGAGACACTTTCAGCCTGACCCACTTCCCAGTCTTTTTACGGGCATAGAAATGGGTGATGAGGGGTACGTTTCCCTAAAGCGTAGGTTAGCAACTTACATAGTTCATTCATTGACATCATTCCAACCAGTAAGTTAGCATCTGTGATTTCGGGAAAAGAACCCCAGAACAAAGCGCGAGTTTGTGTAATTTAAACAGGCTTCAGAGTCTATTTGTCAAATTTCAGATGTATGTATGCGAAAGTGAACGATTAAAATCACAGTTTGGCGACACTCTTTCTCACTTAATGAGTGTGTATTTTCACTAACTGTACTGTTTTATAGCTACTTTTACACTGTTTTTATACTGCTTTGTCCAGCCACCGAAAATATTGACTATCATGTGACATAATCTGTGGTGAAGGGACGAGAGAAGCAGAAATGTCGAATGTCTGGGTGGGTTACCGCCGCGGGGAAGAATCATGTAGAAATGCAGCTGTTTTTTCCGATTTCTGAAACATGACCTTACGCATAAAGATGTTACGCTAAAACATTTCCAAACACAGCGCCCTCCATAATTATTGGCACCCCTGGTTAAGATGTGTTCTTTAGCTTCTAATAAATTCAGTTTTTTTCTAAATAATAAGGGACCACAATGAAAAAAAGAGAAAAATCCAACCTTTAATTCAAGTGCATTTATTCAGTGGGAAAAAAATCCCACAATAAGAAATAATTATTTTACATCAAATCATGTGTGCCACAATTATTAGCATCCCTGATCTTAATACTTTGTACAACCCCCTTTTGCCAACAAAACAGCACCTAATCTTCTCCTATAATGTTTCACAAGATGGGAGAATACAGAAAGAGGGATCTTTGACCATTCCTCTTTGCACAATCTCTCTAAATCATCCAGCGACCTGGGTCCTCTCCTCTGCACTCTCCTCTTCAGCTCACTCCACAGGTTTTCAATGGGGTTGAGGTCTGGGGACTGAGATGGCCATGGGAGGAGCTTGATTCTGTGTCTGGTGAACCATTTCTGTGTAGATTTGGCCACATGTTTAGGGTCATTATCTTGCTGAAAGACCCAGTGACGAACCATCTTCAGCTTTCGGGCAGAGGCCACCAGATTTTGATTTAAAATGTCCTGGTATTTCAAAGCGTTCATGATGCCATGCACCCTAACAAGGTTCCCAGGGCCTCTGGAAGAGAAACAGGCCCACAGCATCACCAATCCTCCCCCATACTTCACAGTGGGCATGAGGTGCTTTTCTGCATATTCATCTTTTGTGTTCCGCCAGACCCACTTAGAGTGTTTGTTGCCAAAAAGCTCTATCTTGGTCTCATCTGACCAAAGCACACGATCCCAGTTGAAGTCCCAGTACCGCTTAGCGAACTCCAGACGCTTGCGTTTATGATTGTGTAATGTGGTAAAAAGCCAGTAGATGGCAGTATTGACATTTTTTTTGTTAAGCCAGTCTGGAACTAGGTTGGGCAAGTCCTGGGCATGCCTCAGAGGGGGCTGGACAAGAGTATATGAGGAGAAAAATTGAGAGAGTAGGAGAAATTGCAAGGAGAAATTGTGGAAGGATACATTTGACCAGACCTGTCACTCTTTTCAAGACCTGTGAAGCTTTTTGTGGATTTTAGCCTGTGTTGGAGCATTTTCCTGTCCCAGGACATCGCAACATAGCAGCGCCATCTCCATTACCAAGGGACTGTAACTATTTTTTTTTATTATTTCAATCTTAGTCAGTAGATGTAGATTGTAGATTAGTTCAGTGTGTGTTTAATTAAATCTGTTGAAGTTTAAGAATTTTGTCTGTCATCCCTTGCTGTCCATGACGTCATAACAAATTGACGCCATAACAAATTGGGGCCATAACAAATTGGGGGCTCGTCCGGGATAGACCATTGTGCGAGTCATTTATTGAAAATCTAAAATTTCAAATAGTGAAATTGTTTTTTGAATTTTCCAATATATATATTGGCAGATCAACAGCAATGGATGATTTCTTGGCATCACCAACCGTAGAGGTTTTTGAAGTCTTTTAAAAAAGACAGAACTGCTAGAAATATGCAGACAGTTAGAGCTGACAGATGTAAAACCAGCCATGCAAAAAGCAAGACTGGCTAGAGAGATTGTTGAATATTACATTGATGAAAATGTGTTTGCACCAGGAGATCTAGAACAGTTTCGGTGGAAAATCCCAATGTAGAATTGGAACTTAAATTAAAAAATGCTAGAGATTGAAAGGGGAAAAAAAAAAAACAAAGAGAATTTGAGAGAGAGAAAGAGAAAAAAAAAAGGGGGAAAAAAAAAAGAAAAACAAAGGCAGTTTGAGTTGGAAAAATTAGCAAGAGAAGAGAAAAAAGAAAGGGAGGAAAAGAAAAACAAAGTTAATTTGAGAGAGAGAAAGAGGAAAGAGCAGAAAGAGAGAGACAGAGACAGAGATTTCGATTTAGAAAAATTAGATAGAGAAGAAAGGCTCCAAATGGAGCTACTAAAAGTCAAAATGCAAAGTGAAAACAAATTTCGGGCTAGCCAGGAGGTAAAGCTGGTGCCTCCATTCTCAGAGAAGGAGGTTGATAAGTATTTCCAGTGCTTCGAGAATGTAGCTAAGAGTGGTCAGTGGCCAAAGGAACACTGGCCTCTGATGTTGCAAACTGTCCTCAAGGGTAAAGCTCAACAAGCCTATTCGGCTTTGTCTGCAGATGATTCCTCTGATTATGAGGTTGTCAAAAAGGTTATTTTGACAGCTTATGAGTTGGTTCCAGAGGCTTACCGACAGAAATTCAGAGGTCTGAAGAAATCTGACAGTCAGACTTTTGTGAAATTTGCTAACGAGAAGGTTTGCTTTGAGCGCTGGTGTACTTCTATGGAGGTCAAGGATGATTTCAACTCACTAAAAGAGATGGTGTTAGTTGAAGAATTCAAGAACTGTGTCAAGGATGATATTAAGACCTACCTTAATGAGAAGCAAGCACTGAATTTGCAATCAGCTGCCAAGTTTGCAGACAAATATTTTCTCACACGTAAGTCCAAATTTCAGTCTAGCAGTAAAAATAGCTGGTCCCAATTTCAGAAGAAAGGTAACGGTGATACCCAAGATTCCTCACCCAAAGACAAAGACAAATCTGGTGATGGTGCTCAGAAATCCAGTCAAAGGTCTGATCAAAGTGTGAAAGCTGACAGTGACAAAAGTGGTCTAGTTTGCAATTATTGCAAGAAATCTGGTCATGTTACAACTAACTGTTGGTTCCTTAAAGCTAAGAAAGAAAAAGAAAAGGATACCAAACCCAATGCCTTTGTGAAGACAAGGTTAGCAA